AGAGAGAGAGAGAGAGAGAGAGAGAGAGAGAGAGAGAGAGACCCCATAACTGCGCCCCCCTCCCCGTCCCTCTCAAACGATCAAGTGTAGTGTGGGATGCGTGGTCCATGGAGACGGTTTACCAAAAAAAAAAAAAGAAGGGTGCGTGCGCACACGCGAGAGAGAGAAAGTGAGAGAGGGACAGAGAGATCCCAATCTAACCAACTATGCCGCCCCCCCCCACAAGGATCAAGTGCAGTATCTGCTCCGATTGACAGCAACTGCCCGCAACCCAGCCCCGCCCCCCAAGATCAAGCGTAGTATCTGCTCCGTTCAGTTTCATATCTGATCCGTGGTCCATGAAGACCTTTTTATATTAGAAAAGAAAAGGAAAAAAAGCATGCGCGTGCACAAACGAGAGAGAGAGAGAGAGAGAGAGAGAGAGAGAGAGAGAGAGAGAGAGAGAGAGAGAGAAACACTTGCAAAATTAGACAATACGCGCGAGGTTTTACTTTCACAGCAAACACGTAATGTCCATGGCATGCGACTAGGTCGCGATCACCCTTCTACCTCACTGCTCAGGTAATCATTTCAGCCACTATCAACAGTATGTATACCTTCTGCTCCCAGTCCTTCCCTACCGCTATCCCAGTCCTCGCAGTCTACTCTCATCACTCTTCTGGATCTCATGCCCTTGGTCTCTGTCGCTGCCGATGTCCGCGTGTAGCTCCTCTGCGTACTGTCATCTTATCTCCTCAAAATATCTTGTACGTAGTAAAATACATATGATAGTGCATATACAGTACAGACTCTACAGAGTATATACAGAGTACAGACAGATTACATACGATGTCTCAAATCTTATTCGCTGTTTTTCTGTGACAAGAGTTCTGGTGAATGGGTTGGAAGGTTAAGGGGTGGGTGGGTGTTGGTGAGGAGAAGGGAGGCAGAATGCACATTTGTTCAGAGGCTGACATTGCCTGGCCTGCTCTCCTCGTGTTCAGGTGCTTCCTGAGGAGGAGAGTTTGCTGGCAGAGATTGAGGCAGCCATTGCGGCAGATGCAGCGTCTGATGATGAGGCAGGGAATTGTGAAAGCGCCATAACTCCTGGGACAGTAATTGGAAGGTTTCCGAACTTGACGAAGGACGCAGTTGAGGCTCTGCGGTATCGGGCGGAGGTGCGTATGGTTTTCTTTCCTGAAAGTTGACGTCCCATTTGCCGCAGCATCATACAGAGTTTTTGTCTGGAAGAATGGCCTGTCCACTTTTTTTATATATGAAATTTATGAATGTGGGTATCGTAGAACTCTTTTCAACGATGGCTCAGCTTAGCATCCGATTGCAGGTTCCCCAACACTGGGTTTTGGTCTGGAAAAAAAAGTCTGCCATTGGGGTTATGAATGTGGACGAATAAGGGTGTGTAAATGTGAATGAATGTGGATGCAAGATGATGCTTTTGTACATCGCTTTGTTTTCTAGTTGCCTGTTGTTTGTTGAAAGGCATACATCCTTTTGCCTTTTCGTTTTTTTGTTTTAACATTAAACAAATATATAATTCTCTTTCGTCTTCCGTTCACAGGATGTTGCGAGAGGAGTGACCAGGTTGGCAGTGCGGGAAGCAAGGGCACTTGAACTTCGGCTAGAACTCCTCAATTCAGAGAAGTAAGGGAGTTTGTGTTTTGATTTGTCTGATGCAGACCTTCTATCTACATAGATACTTCTTATATATTTTTTTAACCAGCTAAGGGTTGTTTGTCAGATGCTGAGCTGTGCTATTGCGGTCATGTGTGGATCACAGGAGTGCGATCCCATCCGTCCATATTGCAAGATAAACTGTTGCCGCCCCAAATGTAATGCTGGAAAATCTTCTCTCTCTCTCTCTCTCTCTCTTGTCCGCGCGCATGTGCTCTGCGGTGCAAGCACCCCAGCAAAACTTGACCTCTGTGGTGCCACCTTTGTGTAGGTGGTTTTGTGTGCGAGGCATGACTTCCATTGGCAATCTCTGGTGTGTGGACTGGAGGGGAGTCATAAGCACATCTCATGAGAAGAGGAAATGAACTTTTGCGGGCAATCAGGAGCGCTTGTCTTACGGAACTGAAAAGAAGAGCTTTCGTTTGATATTTTGCTGGGACACATTGGGTTCCATGATCGGTGGCTGGTGTGGATCGGTGGCCGCAAAACAATTTGTTGTCCCCTCTTTATGGCGCGCTCTGAGTTTTGGCTGCAAATCAAATCAAGTCTATTTTGTTTACGTCAATAGCCGGCCTTTGTACACTAGAGCAGGAGCTGTCAACGATCTTAGAGCAGGAGCTGTCAACGATCTTAGAGCAGGAGCTGTCAACGATCTTAGAGCAGGAGCTGTCAACGATCATTGCTTCAAGTCTCAGGGGTACATTTGGTCCCTGTGTATCTGTGACCACATGAACTATTTGATGTCCGTACGTCCGTAGGTTATGCGGCGCACTGCAATCTTGATGCTGAATCAAATTAGGTCCATTCAACGTCCATTGTTTATATGAGTAGCCTGGCCTTTGTGCGCTACCTTCTTCCCCCGAATACTATGTACGGTCATTACAGCTGTATCTAGACTGAAAGATGCCTCAAATACAGCTATAATGACCGTACGTTGTATTGGGGAAGAAGGTAGAGTAGGTGCTGTCAACGATCTTGGCTTCGTGTCTCAGGGGTACGAACTTAAATCTGTGTGCAGCCCCATGGTTGCAGAAACTCCTTGAAATGGGAATACGATGATTCGGTCGGGGACATGACATCTCATCATGTCTGCTCAACTCTTTGTGACATGGAGCTATCCTTTTTTCCTTTCTTTCTGAGAAATTCCGACTTAATTCTCTGTGACACGGAGCTATCTGAATCGTAGTAGGCAGAAAAGGAGGAAAAGACAAGAAACATGCGGCTCACACACACACACACACACATACACACACACACACACACTGAGAGAGAGAGAGAGAGAGAGAGAGATAGAGAGAGAGAGAGAGAGAGAGAGAGAGAGAGAGAGAGAGAGAGAGAGAGAGAGAGAGATTCTGTTCTATTGGTTGCAGAACGTCTTATTTGTTTGTAAGTCTGCAAACGTAGAAAACAATGCCTCGCAGACATGCCCAAGGAGCTCCCGAAAACTTGAAACGTCATCTGAATTTGTGAAACCTGATGTTTTTGTTTTTCTTTTCTTTTTCTGCAACTTTTCCTTGTGCAGGCTTAGAGCACATTTTGAAGACAACCCGAAAGATTTGGGTACGTTCATCAATACGTCTTATCTGCGTCTGAATTGGCCTCTCTCTCTATATATATATACTGCTAGCCTCCTGATGAGTCGGTGAAACTGCGACGAAAATGTTTGTGACAGCCCCCGACATAGAAGGGTATTAGTACCCCTCATTATTAGTACCGTATTTACTATCTTCTTCCGAGTAGAATGATGCCCCAAATAGAACTATAAATGTTTATCATGCCCTCGTTAACTGTTGTTGCTCTTTGAAGAGCCCAAGAAGTTTGAATTCTGAGTTTGTTTTTTTTTTCTATGCTTCTGAGTGTAGTAAACCACATCCCGTGCCGAATTTGGTAGGAGGGGTCTTAGTGGGGTTGGAGAAAGGGAAGGAGGGGTCGGGGGAAGTGTAATGGGGGAGCAATTTTTCCCTGTCTTTTTCTCTTCCTCGAGCTAAATTGATAGCCGTTTTCTTGTGGCAAATCTGAAAACATCTGGGTGTGGTGTTTTCGTTTCTCCACCGTCGTTAGTCTTGGGAGAACATACCACACGGTCTTGATGTGTACACAGCACTGGAAAACAGTCGTACAATGGAAGTTATTTCTTGCAGATGCTGCCAGTGTGCCGACGTGTGCATACTGATCGCTAGGTCGCAGCAACTGGCCAGGTGGGGTTCAGAAAATAAATGATCCTTTTTCTCATTTATGTGAAATGCTGGTGCATTATGTCCGTCGCCTCTCCCTACTACTCTTCCTCGTCCTCATTGGTAGCAATGGTCTTTGTATATCCTCGTCATTTATGTCGTTGTCATCATCATCATCATCATCATCATCATCATCATCATCATCATCACCATTGCCACAAGTATAACCATCACCGTCATCATAATCATCATCCACTTTTTTCCTGTTTTTGCGACCATCTCTCGATTAATGAGTGTCGTCCTCCGCCGCAGCGGTCATGCTAATCTTCTCTGTATGGCTCCAAATTTAACAGATGTCTCTGAATGACGTCACCATGATTATCACCATCACCATCACCATCACCATCATCATCATCTTTAGCGGCAGCATCCATTGGTACTCATCATTATCTTCTTAGCTGGGAGATTCTGATCGGGTGGTTCCAAATGGTGCTGGGATTCTGATCGGGTGGTTCCAAATGGTGCTGGGATTCTGATCGGGTGGTTCCAAATGGTCCCTGACTAGGTTCCATAGACAGCCCAATAAATCCTGATTGTGTACGAGGTGGCCGTTGATTCCTTCAGCAACTGGCGTGTTCACTGTGATCAGTGATGTATAGGGTAACCGCAATTTGACGGTTCTGTAAAATAGCAAGTGGTTGGTTCAGTAAAATACTAAAAATAGTCTTGGAGGTAGTGGTTCTGTTTGTTTTTTGAAGGTTCTGTTATTTCTAAAACGAAATAAAAAAGGAAAAGAAAAAGGCTTTGAGGTGGTGTGACTTCCATGTCAAAGAGGACAAAAAGTCTTACAAGTTAATTACAATGCCTCTGGAAATTGGAAAATTAGCAAACTGTGGGAAGTTGGGAACGGTAAAGTGGATGTGTCAACTTGTATCAACTTTTTTTTCTTTTTTTTTTTTGGGGTGGAAGCTTTGCCAAGTTGAAAAGGAGAAACTTTTTTTTTTTTTTTTTTTTTTTTTTTTTTTTTTTTCCGGTGCGTCGTCCAGCGGTCATTGCAGGTCCAATGCAGGATAAAAAAAGTGGTATCAAAATTTAACATTTCTATCAGTTAATAGCAAAGTAATAGCACCTGCTAATACTGGAAGTGACAATAAAAAGCAGCAAAGCTGTAATTACTAATTACCACAGACCAAACACATAGAGGTAATCTATGTATCGTCCTTCCTGGGCCACGCATGTTAACCATATTTGTGAAAGGCCTTCCTTCCACGATTCAGACCCCAAATTCGGACTTCAGGCTCAGATGCCCAGGTCAAGATAAGGCCGAGTTCGTCAAACTCAGAAAAGTCACAATCGGGTACCTCAGCAGCAGTCTGCAGTCTAGTCCAACAGGCACTCAGCAAACAGTCACGTTTTAGCGACAAGAGAGTCACGTCCCATAATAAAAACCGTTGAGAAGAGTCACATCCCACGAGTGAAAAGACAGATTCACCAAGCAAGAGTCATGTCTCATCAAAGGTAGGAGTCACGGTTCCTAATGAAAAGTCATATTGAAGAGAGACATCCCACGAGTAAAAGGTAGAATCACAGGCAAAGGTCGTGACCGACAGGCAGGAGTCACTGTCCACAGTCAAAAGTCACGTTCACAAGTGAAAAGTCACGAGTCAAAGGCCCAAGCAGCAGCAGTCCAATGGAAATTCGGGAAGGTTCCAGGCCTTGACATTCAGGAGCGGACAGGCCGTGGGGACGTGGTACCGGAAGCAGTCAGGACCCAAGAAACAGAGGCTGGCACGAGTTGAAGTGCAAACCGAGACTACAAAAGGACTGGCCAGCCTCTCATTCGGGCAGATTGCTCATTCGCAAGAAGTGTGCAAGTGCTGGTGCACTTGTGCGCTGAAGTGAGGAGCAGAGCGCTGAGGCCAGAGTGCTGCGCTAAGTGAGGGAGAGAGAGGAAGATAGCCCTGGTAGGGAGAAGGCAGCCATAGCTGCGCCAGTGCAGAAGTGTTAGTGCTAGTTATTAGTAGTAGACTCCAGAGGGGTTAGTAGTGTTGACAGTGGGTGTATTCAGAGTAGATCCATGAAGTAGTAGATAGTGCGTGTGAATGCATGTAGGGAGAGAAGACACAGCGACGTCAAAGCTAGGGAGGGCTCGTGACCAGCAAGGTGGAGAGATACATAAGAGGGAAGAGCAGAGGGGAAGAGATACTTACCTGAGAGTTTATGCTGATTATTGGTCACCTATTAGCACGCGCTGATGAGCGCTGGTGACTTGGAACTCTTATTGCTCTTGTAATACTTTCTCGAAAAGATAAGCTGCGCTACCTGGTCTTCATCTCTCTGGTCTCAAGTGTGAATTTCGTGTGAACTCGTACATGCATGTGGTGTGAATATGTGCACTCACTGGTGTTGAAGTAGGAGGTACATTGCATTTGGGCCACGCATGTTAAAATAGTTGGGCGACGCATGTTAAAAATAGTCGGAATAAAATAATAAAAAAGGTCGCAATGACATTGATAGCACCTGAGGGAGGATACACTCGATAACGAGGGGACTAAGAAGTAGCTAGATGCACAGCCGCTCCTCTTAAATTCAAGTTTTTGACGGACGCTGATCCAGCACTTGGGTCCGATATAGAATGCATATCTTTGCTTTCTTGCATTCTCTACTTGCCCGAATATTCGGTGGTGTTTTTTTGCACGTACATGGCCTTGTTCAAGACCACATTCACTGGACTGGTAACGCAAACGAAATGGGAAAATAATATCGAGAGGTGGAAGTGTCAAAGTTTGTTCCGTTCTGACGTTGACCAGTCATTTGCAACGAAAATGAGCAATAGCGAGATGGCAGAAATCCAGAATGCAAAATGACATTGAAAGACAGAAAGTCCAATGCTGTCTAGAAAGCAGAAATGCGCCGCTGATATTACACCAACGGAGAACCAAAGCACCGAATCCGAATGTCAATGAGAGCATACTCTCGCCACCACCAACATACGTAATACGTATCAAGAGCCCTTCGGCCTTACTTGGGGCTCAGCGCCCAGACTACATTCACACAGCTACTACCAGCCTACGAATTCGCAATGCAACCTGTTGACACGAGCAGCAACTACCGAAGTAGATGAAGATGTCCGCCCATGCAGACTATCACCAAGACCAGGTATGTGCCCTGACGTCATCATCCTCATCTCTCTCACTCTCTCATTCTTCCGTGTCTGTTGCCCACGTCTTCTTCCCCATGCACGAAGACGACCGCCACCTCCACTGGCTGTCCAAGCCAAGCCCTGGCTATGTAGGGCTGGCTATGGCGCTGCCCTCAGCAGCGCCCTGCCTTCTACCAGCGCCCACTCGCACTGCCTGGCAACGAGCGCTAGCGCACAGCGCACACCCCGCGAGCGCACGCTCAAGCAGCGCTGCCGCATGCACTGCCTAGTGCCCGAATGCCTCTACCAGCGGCCAGCTCTTTTCTTTAGGGAAGGTGCTCGCCCAGTCTCCGGCCTGGCTGGCCTCGTGTATTTCCAGTAGCTTCCGATCGGGCCAAAGTGTCTGTGCGCAAGCCCACTCAGACAGTGGGCAGGGACCAAATTTGTTAGGCCTGCCCAACCACCCAGGAGTAAACGTGAGGTTCTCCCTGCTTCGCCTATGCTGCTGGAAGGGCCTAGAGGGCTCACAAATTATTTCTGATTCTCACGAGTAGAGGGAGGATGTAACCAGCTGGCGCATGGCAACTGTCTGGCGCCCACCAAATTGACGAACTCAGGCCATTATATTGAAATTCAGGGGGCCCGCCTTCACTTAGGGCGGGCTCATGCTTGCTGAAAGGGCCCTACAGGGGCATGCCTAGGAGCTAACTTTTTTTTTTTTTTTTTTTTTTTTTTGCCTAGGAGCTAACTCGTAACAGGGCCTCGTCGAAGATCCATCCCACATGGGGGGGTTCCAACAGGCTCTGCTTGGTTCCTTCAGCCTGGTCTCATAGCCCTATAAACAGGAATTGGCACATATTTGCAGGCCTGCCTTCACTTAGGGCGGGCATGGCACTTTCAGAAGACACTGCCGAGGGACTAAATCCTCGCACATTGCCTTGAACTTTCTTTATTAACAGTGTCTTTTTTTTTTCATTTTTCAAATTTTCAATGCACTAATTGAAGTCAATTAAATCCTGACAAGAAATGTGTGTTTGGTCACTTGCATACAGAGCTGCTGAAGCACGACAAAATCCTCTCGAAGCAGCAGCCGCTTCGGCATCTCAAGTCGTTGCCCTCCTACCTTAGGGACCCCACAGTTGAAGCAGCTAGCCAGAGAGTTGGCATGGCTGAAGCTGCCATGGGTGGCCGCAGACAAAGCTCGAGGATGAAGCGGCGAGGAGGAAAAGACAGAGATCCTCTGCGCAGCATTGCACGGAAGGTGAGGAGTTGACGAGTTTACTACCTCACACTTCAGTTTTAAACCTCTTCTTGGTATGGAGTTTAAACCTCTTCTTGGTATGGAGCAACATGTGCGTATCAAGTCATACACGTGCATGTATGCCTGTGTGGCCAGCCTGCTTCTTATCATTGCAGGTTCTTATCACCGTAAAAGAGCAGTGATAGTGTGCGGACGTGTGTGTTTGTGTGCGTGTGTGTGTGTGTGTGTGTGTGTGTGTGTGTGTGTGTGTGTGTGTGTGTGTGTGTGTGTGTACACAGAATGAGATTGTCTCTCCGTTCTTACCACCTCTCTCTGTCTCTCTCTGTGTTTTCATGTGTATACAACGAACGTTTCTGGCCTTTGACTTTTCAGAAGGGAGGCTTCAAGCAGCGAGGTGGAGAGACCGGTGGAAGAAAAGCGTTCAAAGGAAAGCATGCTGGGAAGAAGAGATAAGACTGATATCATATGGAAACATTGGCATTTGGCACGTAGAGGTTTGTAGGTACAGGGAGAGTGCCCGAGATCTTGAAGAGCAGAGAGTAACTGTAGTTTTCATTGGCAGAATGATGTGTCATCTCATTCAGGTGGTGGTCATTTTGGAGCAATATATCTCTTTGGTGTATTTCACATCTCGTCAGACATTGTTCGCGTTTTCTTCCTCACAGTTTCCCTCGGCATCTGTGCAGCCCATCAGTCTCTGTTGCATAACTCTGCCGCAAGCTGTTGTAAGTTGTCTCAAGGCACATTCCATTCTTTACTTCCTCTGATTGTGCCCTACTTCTATCCTTCTACCCTGCCTGCCTGCCTCCCCTCCCTAACCCTCCATGTCGCTTTTCCCCCCCCTTTTTTCTCTCCTTTGCCTTCCCTCCCTTCCCTCCCTTCCTTCTCTTCCCTCCCTTCCCCTCTTTCCCCTC